AGCGCTCTGCAACATTCAGCTTACGGAAACTGCCGATAATTGTCGAATGTGATTGAACGCAAGTTTTGTCGAAATATGTCAAGAATTGTGCCGTGTAAAGTGTTGACAAACTTAAAATTGAATGCATTTTCAAGAGCAAAGGCAATAACTCATACTTAGTATTTTTTGAATTATTCTTATTTTCAATAGGGTTAATCCTTAGGTGATAATAAACAAATACACTCTCTGAAACAATTACATTAAATGTTTTAAACAATTTTTTGTTTATTTTTATTTGTAAGCATTGTATTATTTCAGTCTTTCCAGAATTTACATTGCACGCAGCGCAGAACATTTATTACTCAAATTGATAATTGGTGTAAAAGAAGTATCATGTTCTCTTCTTGTGACCTTTGCCAGTGCTTCTAAATAGGAGAGTATAGGCTAACACCTAACATCAAGTTGTGTCAAAATCAGTCAATAATTGAGACTTCATAGAGACGGACAATGTCGGAAATGCTTGACACCAATACAAGCTTCACATTTAATTTTATGCATTGATTTAAGGCACTTTAATGCGAATTACTGTTATCTAAACATCTTACAATCACAGGGACTTGATATTTTACTATGAGAATGAGAAAGATTGACCACAGACAGAAATAAAAATAAACAAAAATAAAAACTGTCCTCACCTGGTATATCTGGAACTGGGTCTGAAAAGCAAAGAATACGATAGGCTAGATTGGTACAATATTTAAGAATTGCTCCCCCGGAAAAGCAGTAACGCTTCATTACATAGAGAACTGATGCAGATAAACATTATTTCATTTTATATGTAGCCTGAATATTTTCAAATCAAAGCCAGTCAACCTTAAAGTCTTCCAATGGCTTAAAATTCGCCGATGACTCAGTGTAATATCATTTTTTGTATTATAAGTTAGAGTTGTATAGGCTCAACATCAAATTCGATCTACGACTAAAGCAACTCTGCCACTGATTTAACGACAGGATTTTTAAAAGGAAAAACGTTAGATAAGAAAAGTCTGACAAATATTCTTTAAATTATGGTGTATAGTTTTGACTTATATATATATAAAAAATAGTAATAAACAGAATGCCCCTTAAACCTTTTCCGCCTATATCAAATAAGCTTATAAAATTGTTTCAATCTATGCATTGTGGAAACTATTGAACTGTATTAGTAGAACATAGCCTACAAACCCGTTTTAGTCCCGTTTAAAACCGAATTATCCGTACTCATTTCAGAAGTCATTCGTGTCCCTCTGCATCGGTTCGTACTATTACGTATCAGACCTTATTCGTACTACCCCTCACTTATAACCGTAGCAAACGCCCTGGCGCGCGCCGTTCCGTAATAAAACGTTTCATTCCGAATTAAATCGTGCTTTAAATCAGTAGTGTATATTGCCTGCCGGCATATTATTATCGAACCTGAAGGTATTTCTCAATGACAGCTTTTATCAAAAGTACTAAATGATTATTTAAACCTTCATTTTCGAACATGTGCTTCCTAAGACCGGCAAAAATGTTCTTATTGATATAAGATTCAAGAATTGAATTCACCAATTGATGACATTTAACACTAGTCAACTTGATTGAAGCAGAGAAAACATAGCGTCGGAAGAACTTTTCAGACGTAATACATATATCAACAACATCATTCGATGGAACTGTTCATGATCCTTTAGATTTCAAGGCTATCAATGAATGTACAGGTGAAAGTTGCGTTTCTGACAGAGCATTTACGCATGTTTCACAAATTATACAACTTTTCAATTTAAAAACAACAAATCCAGCTATATAGGCAACAATTTTATGGGACAAAGATGACAAGAGATGAGGATTTGGCGTATAACTGTAATCCTCATGAAAGGGCTGCAACATAAAACTATCATCGCACAACCTATTTTGAATCAACTCAGATGCGGACAACATTGTTGCACAGTATACGGCTTGACGTAGTCAAAATAGAAACATTTTCAAGAGCCAAACAATTTCCTGATCTAATATCTTATCATTATGTACAAGTAACTTTTTATAAGACGTTTTGAATTGTCCAGATGTAGGATTATTATTGCGCCCTTCCATACTCCTAATTTTACCAAAAAAAGAGTTCGATATGGTCTTGGCTGAACTTGTAAGTTAATAAAAATTGCATATTTTATTTCCCTGATAAAAGCAAATCTTCGAATAAAGATTTAACACTCTCAATGCACAATAGAAAGCCTACGAAACCTGTTTTTCTATTACTCCTCAGTATACTGGGTCCTAATTTAGATTGCCGCAAAGATGAAATATATGATTTAGCAGTGGACAAAAAATCAATTATGGAAAGATAATTGGTGAGTTTAAGAGGAGCCTTCCATTTCGAGAATTCAAAACGTCAAAAAGCTTATCAAATAAACGTATGATTTCAATGGTCTCTTCACAACCCGAGAAGTCTTTGATATTTCCATTTAAGCAAAACTGCAGAGATGTTGCGACAGACTCGCTCAAAGTTTGCGCGGCTAATTTAACATTCATTTTCTTTTTGAACCATTCAATGTGACTGGCTTTCAATTTATTTCCGAAGTGGAGTTCTTCAACTTGTTGTAATTAATGTCTATTAAAGCTCCAAACCCATGGTCACACCGTTGTGTAGTCTGTGCCTTCTGCTACTTTATAAAGACCTTACTCATGCCTTCCGTGCGAGCTGATCCATGAATGTGTGAAAAAAACAGACGACTTTCAGTCCAAGCACACTTTGTTTTGCCATTTTAAATCGTTGGTACTTGTTCCAGTAATCATTTTTTTTAAAGATATTCATTGATAGCCTATTAAGAAACATCTATACATTTAAAATTTACTTACCAAGAGCGAAATGTACTGCAACACAAAATATTAAAATAAAAGATACATGAAATGAACGGTTCATATTTAGAATCACAACAAATACGTCTGCTCTATTCAAAAGTTAAATTAGTTCTAATTGTATTACCGAGATGTAACATATTGTATATTCATACATGTACCTATATGCAATATTCACGCACTAATAATTCTGATATCCATTAGTCCTATATTACATTGTTTATTTCAAATTCTTGTCAATTATTCCATAAATAGGTTCCATAGACCAACCAGTCATTATGCAATTGGGATTGTAAAGAGGTTTTCTAAAAAAAAAATATGTGAATCTGGGATACTGATAGTATCAATTTGCACCATTCCAATTTCCAATCAGACATCTGTCGTTCCACTTAAATCAAGTGTTTAATGACGTCACTAATCGGAGAATGATCATGCTTAAACACAAGGTCTTCGCAATTATAAGTGATGTCATAAAACGCTTAGTCTGATTGAAAATCAGAATGGTGCAAATTGATGCTATCAGTTTCCCCGATTCACATTATTTTTTTTTTTTTTTTAAAAACCTCTTTCATACAATTCATTTCATAACGTTGTAAATCATATTATGTGCAATGATTTCTAACAGCTAGTATGCTATAGGCTACACATTTAACCATTTAAAGGGGATGAGTTAAAAACAAAGTGTACTAATTGTTTAGAATAAGTATAATACATAGGCTATTTTTAAACAATTTGGCGGGTTTTTTTTAAAATATTATTATATGTTTTCCAAGATCAGCCACCATTTTCAACCCAATCAGCATCTGTGGTTCCTGTCATTTGAGGAAAACTTGGTCAGATTTTTCAACAAAGATCTACATCATTTGGATTGGGTGGCACCCATATTTAACTTTAAAAAAAAAGTTCAATTTTCAATTATTTTTTTGTATATAAAGTTCAGCTATTTAATTATGTCAAAATATACAAATTAAATCGGCGAATACCTACAACTTTAATTCAATATAAATATTTATAAAGCGATGGCAACTTTGATATTGAATATGTCTGGGTTTCTTTTCATAGAAAGTTTAAAGGAACAGTGTGCCATTTTGGGGGGTTGGTTTGAGTCTTGAATATATGTAAACAGTTTTCAGAAGTACTAAAATGTATAATATAAAATCGCATAATTCCTTCAATAATACCTCAAACAAGGAATTTCTTTTCCTATTTCTATAGATGTATTTCTTTATCTGGCAAGAAAAGACGTCTCTGCAGGCATGGATTTTAAGGCTCAAATTTCGAACGTGGGCTGTAAACACTCTTAGCTAATGATTGACTAGAAAAATCTCCTTTCTGAGAAAGGTAGGCCTTCGATTGGTAAAAAAAATTATTGCGCAAGTATCTGTCCCTTTAACTAGTAACTGAAGTGGATAGAAATGTCTAGACAGAAATACCAACTCGATAATACTATTTCATTGGCCTGCACTTTGGTCTAAATTAGGTTTATTATTTTCAAGCTCTCTATTCGACAGTTCGCTCACATTAAGTTCACTTTGTCACTTTTAGACTAGGCCTACACCGAATAAGTGAAGATGCATGTCTAGATAATTTCTGTGAGAGCCCTTTGTATCACTTTTATTACCTTGTTACCATGAGTAGACCTATGGCTATAAGGGCTGCAATAGGCGTAAAATTTTATCATAATATAGACTAAAATATAAAGCAAAGTTCCATGGCCGAGAGTGTGGTGTCGGTATGTAGGACTAGTGCTTAAAATCATCTTTTTTTTGTCTTGCTTGCACCTTTAATGCGTCTAATTGTATACTTTTCTGAAAATGCTTCAAGACCAAATTCTTTCTCTGCCATAGTCAGAGCCATGTTTCTAAACTAATTAGCAGTGGTCTGATTCTATCTAAATCACATACGAGTAATCTGCTCTTAGCTCTTAAGCTGCGAACTGATATATCTTATGGCTTAAATAGCAGCTAATTTTTTGGAAATATTATCATAAATCGAAAACTTTAATTTGTCTTTCATTTGCAGGTGTCATCAAAGGAAAACAGATTTTTTTTTACGAAATAATTGAATTAAAAATATCAGACTATTTTGTCGCGTATTTTGACAATCAGGGCAGTGAACAATTTACTTCCGCCATATGGGAATTTAGAATGAAAATGACATGAGGAAGTCACGATAATTTATGATATTTCTTATTTATTAAAGTTCGGATTTGTTTGAACCAGTCTCGTTTATTTTCTCTTTCTCGATTGTTTTGTTAAGTTTTTTTTTCACCATAGAATAGTCATCATGGTCGTTTCTTCAGTTTATGATGTTGTTTTTGTTGTCGAAGATACTGCAAATTTAGCAGCCTATATTGACATCTTGAAGTCGAATTATGTGATGCCAACTCTTCAGTAAGTTTTGTCGTTTTCTTAACTAGGAGCAGATTTTTGCTTAATCCTTCATGTTCATTTTCTCTTAAGATCCATATTTATATTATTTGTAAGGACTTGTAGGACATGACTTGTTTTGACTTCTTCTTCTGTAGTAATTTCGGTCAAAAAGTCTGTATTATTAGGCTATAGTAAATAACTTCTTTTACATTATGTCTGAAATGGCTGAAAACTAGTTTTGAGATGGTGGAAGTTAACCAGCTCCTATCTACCACATTATCAAATATCGAAGTTACCATTACAAAGGTTTTTAATAGGCTTATATATTGAAACTGTGAAGATAAAAATGCTAAATTTCATATTGTATTTTTATCATGATGACCCATGTATTGTGATACATATTGTATTGTGGTATGACTGGTGATACCCAGCACTACCTTACATGGATTTAGTTGTAAGTTATGCTATTCAGCATTGTTTGACCACTAAAAAACATTATGTAGACTATGAATGATATCTGTATAAAGCTTAATTATTTGGTGATGATTGTCAATATTTAAGAGTCAAAAGTTGGTGTCACTAGCATTATTAGTGTGTAAATGCAGTTGATCATGTGACAAACTGAATTCGTCATTTATGTATGTTTGTGGCGTGATCAACTGCGTTTACACACTAATAATACTAGTGAGACCATCGTTTATATTCAGATACTTTTATTAACACACTTTTCACTTTTTTATATGATCATTTCCTTGAATTAGCCTCAAATCTTAGATAGCGTCATTGTTGTGCTTTGACGACATCATAGTATCACACGACAAACTTCAGTTTATCGAAAAATAAACGCCAGTATGCGTAACTGGTTCATTGAAGGGACTGATAGTAGAAATTTAAGTATTATTGTATGGCATTGGGCCATATGTTGTGGGTTAGTCATTGTTGTCGTCCTTCCTATCTTTTGATAAAGTTATCTAATTTCATTTTTTTAGGTATTTCAATGGAGGTCCACCAGATTCCATTGATTATGGGCATGATGTAAGTTTATACATTACTTTTTCTAATTAGGGTTGTTAAAAATAAAATGAATGGAGTTTTACATCTTACTTTTCTGCATCTAATTGGCTAAAGAAGACAGTTGTTAAGAAGTGTTCATCATGTAAATTGCAATTTAGGAGCTTGTTGGCAGCCAAACTATAATACATTGATTCTTGTTTTTGATTCCTTATTCAGTATAGATAGCTCTCGTGAAATTTATGCTAAAAATTGCCCTACTTTATAGACAAAAGCTAACTGGATAAAATTTTCTTGGGTAAAAATGTTAATTCCCTTACTTTATACCTTACTGACTATATACCATGATGAATTGTATTTATTGCAGTATAGCTGTAGTTTATATGTATTGGTGACCTATAACAGTGGTGATATCATGTCCTCATTATCAGCTAACTGTACACGACCTACCACCAGTATCCATGAATTTAGTACGTGGCTTGACAATACTAAGTAAGTCAACTTTCAGTTTCGTAAGTCAATTTCCAGTTTCAATTCCTTTTTTAACAGGAAGCATTTAGAGCAACAGTCATAGTTGCCCCAATTTATTTTCTGTCCTTATATGGACAAAATAGGGTTTTATGACATGTTGAGGTTCAAAATATGAAAACACATGAATAAGCTTATCAAGCATTGTAACATTAAATGTTATTGATATTTCAAAAATACTTGTTATTGACATGTATCTTTCTTTACCTAAAGGTATTTGTTGGTTTTGATACATATTTTTCTTCCAATATTGATATAGCTCTATTATTATATAGGTTTTTAGGGGGTGCTGGCCAGAGTAGTAGTCTATTATCTGAAGGGTTAAGTACAGCTTTACAAGTTTTTGATGATATCAAAGCTAGAAGAAATGAAAGGTAAGGGGGATACCTTGGACTGTTTTTTTACGGGTATAGTATTAGACTTATGTTATATTATATTTATAAGTACTTATATTGAAGACTGTGATGAACTTGCAGTGCTGCTCTTGACAATACATCTGTTTAACATGGCTCATGCCATATAATCTGATATTTGTCTTCTTTTTTCAGTATAAGTAGTCAGAAGCATTGTATATTATTATGTAATTCACCACCATTTCATCTTTCAAGTCAAGAAAGTTATAATTATTCTGGTTTTTACAGCAATCAATTGGCAGCCAAGATGGCCAAGGTGGGTTTTCTCAGATGATCTGTTGTTAAGAACCTAAAATGTCATGATTAAGAGTAATAAAGAATTGAACCACTGAAAATATTTCACAGAATGTGAATAGTGATACTCATAAACTGACAGCTCTGTTGCATAGTTATATAGTTCTAACCATAATAAATAGAGGTAGAAAAGATCTGACTTACTACTGCATTTCCAAATTTCCAATTCCAATATTACTATAAATAGATTACCATTACATCACAATTCTCAAACACTGGAATTTAACAGTAAATATTAGAAATATAATATATTAATTGGAGTGGAAACCATATTAAGTCAGAATAAGAGTTCCTAAAACATTTTGTATCTTTTAATAGAGAGGTGTGAATTTATCTATTATTTCTCCAAGAAAAATTGCTGCCTTACAAGAACTGTTTGAAGAGGTATAGTAGTGTTTATCATTTCTTGGCTTCTATCTTAATTTTTAAATTTATGAGGAATATATTGATATATATAAGTGAAATTTAGCGTTAATGCCAACAGTTTGAACCATTGATGTCTTTTCGATACCTTCACGATAACTATCATGATCATGATCTGAACGCTATGTAAACCAGTAGACCAGAACATCACAAAAGGGTTATTCATTGCTCAAGTAAGTTTAAAATGCAAGCATTTTCCTCTTCAAATGTAACACAAAAGAAATATATAATAATAAGAGAGGATATTTGACACCTAGTCAGCCATGAAGAAGAGTACCCTTCTAGCTATTTCTCACTTTCACGATTTTGATCTTTGTATTTCCAGTCAAGTAGCCCAGATTTACATAGTTCTACAATGAAAGATTTTACAGTAGACCCTAGACACATGGTTTTATTACGGGGTTATGAGTTAGAAGGTAAGTCCATTTATGTATTATGTTCATTGTTAAGGCTGAATTTGATACATTATATATCTATAATATGAAATAGAAGTTAGATATTCTCTGGCATGTTTTCTTTTTCTTTTTTTCCCTTAACATTTTTAGTGTTTTTCTTTTATTGTAGAGAGATCTCATAGTCCAAGTTTGGAAGATGAAAAACAAACATCAGATCTAATTAAATCTAGTCTAGGTAAGCCAGGTGATAAAACCTTTATCTTTCTATTACCCCTCTCAGTATCCTAGATCGATTACGCTACCCCCTTGCCTCTATAAATCTTCTGTTAATAGTTTTTCTTGAATATTTTCCATGTCAGAGAATATAGGCTGACTGAATAGAACAACCTGAATTATAATTGTCCAAAAATTTAATAATAGAGTCTAGTAACTAGTCTAAGAGCACCTCATTACCCCCAAAAATCATTGTTTGATTTTCAGCTAGTGCAAATGTAAACATGGGAAATAAAGTTCAGTCCCCTGCTGCTGCTATGGATGGTGGAAGCTTTAAACATCCAGGTCAGACCATGAACAATCCCAATCAATCCATTAGTAAGTAACTTTTTCAGTCTTTTTTTGATGTAGGAACACTAACATTGTAGAAATAAAAATATAGTACAAAGGTCAATGGCAGTAATGCTAGTACATCTCGAAGTTTTTTGTTTCTGGGTCAATCACTCTATTGCACTAAAGCAATTTGGATACAGTGTTTAAAAAAGTTATATTCATGGAAACTTACTAATGACGATGCTTTTGAGATTAGATATCTAAAATTATTGAATCATAATTGCAGTTGAAGTCATAAAACTGCTTGTTATTTTCTAGATCCAATATCAATGAATAGTCAACAACCATCTCCTGGTGCTCAGTTATCTCCCCTTAATGTTCAAAATCAGCCTTCACCTCAGATGGCACAACAAGTTAATAATGTAAGTATGGGTGTTTATATTGCAATTTCACACCTTTGCTACTTTCGTGAAAATAGAAATTTCTCTACATATATTTGATATGTAATATACATACCATGAGTAGGCAATTGACAACCTGATGTGTTATTGATAGTTCCTGGTATTCAAAATAAGGAATCACATCCAGAATACACATGGTACTTACATGGTACATACCGATATGGACAATGGTTGCAATTTTATCTGTGAAATTTCTTTATTTTAGCCAAAGAAAGACCAACAGAATATCATCATGCGTAAGTTTTTACCATTCCTGATCTAATAACAGAAATCTT